CCCTCCGATCCCAGGATTTTCACAGGGCCCGACCATGCTCCACGCGCTGCAATCCAAGCTCTCCTCGATCGTGATGCTCGGCATCATCGTCGTGCTCATCGCCGTGCCGCTCGCGATGCGTCCGGGCGAGGCGGTGCCGCCGGCGAACGCCGAGCGGCTCATCGTGATCACGCCGCACAACACGCAGATCCGCTGGGAGTTCGAGCGGGCGTTCAGCGCGTGGCACGAGGAGACCCACGGCACGCCCGTCGTCATCGACTACCGCCGCCCGGGCGGCACGAGCGAGATCCAGAAGCAGCTCAACGCGATCTACAGCGCTGCGTTGATCCGCGGAGACATCGCGCCGGACGGCACGGTCGAGGACGGCACCATGCCCTACGACCTGTTCTTCGGCGGCGGCTCGTACGAGCACACGGTCACGAAACGCGGCGTCACGGTCACGCTCAAGTCAGGCGAGGAGGTCACGCTCTCCCTCTCGCGTCCCGCTGGTTTCTCCCAGGAAGAGCTGGATGAGATCTACGGCGAGAACCGGATCGGCGCGTCGGTGCTCTACGACCCGGAGCAGCACTGGCTCGGCGTGTGCGTCTCGTCCTTCGGCATCCTCTACAACCGCGACCTGCTGCAGGAACTCAACCTCTCCGAGCCCACGCAGTGGAAGGACCTGACCGAGCCGAGCTACGCGGGCCTGCTCGCGATGGGCGACCCGCGCCAGAGCGGCTCGATCGCGACGACGTACGAATCCATCCTCAACATGCAGGGGTGGGACGAAGGCTGGCGGACGCTCCGCGCGATGTGCGCCAACGCGCGGTACTTCACGGGCGAATCCAAGAAGGTCGTCCTCGATATCTCGCGCGGCGACGCCGCGGCGGGGGTGGCGATCGACTTCTACGGCCGATTCCAGTCCGAGGCGGTGGTGCCCGAGGGCGCCCCGCCCGAGTCGTCAAGGCTCGGCTACGTCGATCCGATCGGCGAGACCTTTATTGACCCGGACCCCATCTCGCTTCTGCGCGGCGGGCCGAATCCGGAGCTGGCCGAGCGGTTCTTGCGTTTCGCGCTGAGCGAGCAGGGCCAGGCGATCTGGAACTTCCGCGCCCAGGGCGACGACGCGCCGGACGAGGCGCTCGGCCCGCGGCGCTACAACCTCCGCCGCATGCCGATCCGTCGCGTGATGTACGAGGACTACATGTCGCACTTCATCGACCAGTCGAACCCGTACGAGAGCGCGTCAGACGCGCCGTCGCGCGGGTGGCGTTCGATGATCAACCCGCTCATGGGGGCCTTCGCGATCGACGTGCACCACGAGATGAAGCACGCGTGGGCGGCGCTCAACCGTGCGAAAGCCGAGGGCGCGAGCGGGGCGACGATCGCGGAAATGGAATCGCTCTTCTACGCGATGCCGATGCACACGATGCCGGACGGCACGGTATTGCTTTTCTCCCCCGAGAACTACGCGGCCATCCGCAACGACTGGCGCGACCGTGACCGGGCGGCGGAGTACCGGATCGAGTACACGTCGTTCTTCCGTGAGAAATACGAGCGCGTCATTGAGCTCGGCCGCGAGCACTGAGCGGCGGGCCAAAGGACTTCCGATTGCGCTTTGTGTGCCGGAATGAGCTGGATGGAGTGCGACCCTTGGTCCGCTCGCTCCCGCTCGCGGCTGCTATGACTTCCACTGGTGCCTGATGGCTGGTGCCTGATGCCTTCTTCTACACCCTGAAGATCGACCCGAAGCTCTTCCCGAGCAGCACGCTCACCGCCGTGAGCGTCGCCGCGAGCAGGGCCATCGACCACACGCCCAGCGCCGATGCGATCACCGTCCCGTCGCCGAGACGTTCCGTCAGCATGTAGATCGACTTCGTGATCGGGTAGTGCCGCTCCTGCTGGGCGAGGATGAGCGAGTCGCTCACCTCGAGCATCGCGAAGGCGAACGCGAGCAGGGCGCCGGCCATGAGGTTCGCGGTGATCAGCGGGATCACGACGCGCCGGATGCGCCCGAGCGTCGTCGCGCCGAAGATCGAGGCGGCCTCTTCCAGGTCGATGCCCACCGACGCCAGGCCCGCCACCGTCGCGCGGACGATGTACGGCAAACGGCGCACGGCGTACGCGACGATGAGCAGCGGGAAGGGGTTGGGGTTCGCGCCGACGATGTCGATCGCGCCCTCGAGCGGGGCACCCTTGCCGAAGGGCCAGCGGAGGCTCATCGCGACGAATCCGAAGGCCATCACGAGGCCCGGCACGGCGAGCGGGAGCATCGCGAGGCCGTCGAGGAGCGTCCGCCCCTTCACCTTCGTGCGGACGATCAGGTAGCCGATGGCGATGCCGATGACGACGTCGATGCCGGCCGCGGCGAGGGCGAGGAGCAGGCTGTTCTGGATCGAGCCGAACACGAGCGGGTGCTCGAGGGCGGCGCCGTAGTTGTCGAGCGTCCACGCGCTGGGCAGGACGCTCGCGTACCAGCTCTCCTGCTCGGAGAGGCTCATGAGGATCACGCCCAGGTGCGGGATGAGCGCGAAAAAAGTGACCGTCCCGAAGAGCAGCGCGGCCAGGAGCGTGCCCCGGTGGCCCAGGTACTGCGTCTCGGCGGCGCGGAAGGCGCGGGTGTTCTGGTTCGGGCCCTCGCGACCGAGCGTGAATTTCCCGACGACGTACATGCCGATCGCGAGGATGAGCATGACGACCGTCAGCGCGTACGGCTGCGCCGAGGCGTCCATCTCCTTGATGCCGTGGAAGATCTGGACGCTCGTGACCTCCGAGTAGTCGAAGACGAGCGGGGTGCCGAGCTCGGTGAAGGCCCAGATGAGGACGATCGACCCGCCGGCGAACATGCCCGGGCGGACGAGCGGGAGCGTGACCTTGAAGAAGCGGCGGATCGGGCCGGCGCCGGCGATGCCCGCGGCCTCGTCGAGCGAGGGGTCGAGGTTGGCGAGGCTCGCCGTGAGGTTGAGGTACATGATGGGGTAGAGGTGCAGCGCGAGCGCGACGACGACGCCCCAGAACCGGTTCTCGCCGAGGATGTCCCAGTCCGTCCCGAGCAGGACGTTGAGTGCGCCCTCGCGCCCGAGGATGGCCTTCATGCCCACCGCGCCGACGAAGGGCGGGAGCACGAGTGGCACCAGGATCGCGGCGTCCCAGAGCTTCTTGTACTTGTACTCGTACTTCGCGCTGAGCAGCCCGAGCGGGAAGGCGATGAGCGTGGAGAGGAGCGTGGTGACGACGGCGACGGCCAGCGCGTTGACGAGGCCGGCGCGCATCGCCTGGTCGCGGAAGACCAGCTCGACGTAGCGCAGGGTGAATTCTTTGTCCGGGCCCGTCGAGACAAAGCCGCCCCAGACGGTGAGGACGATCGGGTAGAGCAACGTGACGCCCAGGATGAGCAGCATGCTCACCAGCAGGGCGTACTGGCCGAAGCCGCTCTTCCGCGTCATGCCTCGGCTCCCGCGGGGGCTTTCGACGCCTTGGCGTCCCAGGACTTGCCCTTCCAGCCCTCACGGGACATCACGGCGACGTCCTCGGGCTCGAACGTGACGACGCACTCGCCGGTGCGGTGGCTCGAGGGGCCGATGGGCTCGTGCATCGCGAGCCAGCTGCGCCGGTCGGTGCCGAACGTGAGCTCGTGGCGGATCCACATCCCGCGCCGCTTGGACTGGACGATCTGCCCGCGGAGGACGTTGTGCGCTCCGACGTCCACGTCGCGGTGCACGATGCGGACGGACTCGGGCCGGATGGAGCACAGGACTTCCTGGTCCGGCGAGACGTCGCCGAACGCGGTCTTGGAGGTGATCACTCCGAGCGGGGTTTCGAGCGTGATGCACCCCTTGTTCACCGACTGGACGATCGCGGGCACCAGGCTCGTCTCGCCCAGGAACCGCGCGATGAACGCGGAGCTCGGACGCGCGTAGATCTCGTCCGCGGTGCCGATCTGCTCGAGCACCCCGGCGCGCATCACGGCGACCTGGTCGGCGAGGCTCATCGCCTCCTCCTGGTCGTGGGTCACGTAGATCGCGGTCACGCCCGTCTGCTTGCACAGGTCGCGGATCAGCTCGCGGAGCTGCACGCGCAGGCCCGCGTCGAGATTAGACAGCGGCTCGTCCAGGAGCAGCACGTCCGGCTCGACGACGAGCGCCCTCGCGAGGGCGACACGCTGCTGCTGGCCGCCTGAGAGCTGCCCCGGCTTGCGGGCGCCGTAGCCCTCCAGGCCGACCTGGCCCAGGATCTTCTCCACGCGCTTCGACCGCTCGGATTTCTCAACTTTGCGAGATTTCAGCCCGAACTCGACGTTCTGCGCCACGGTCATGTGCGGCCACAGGGCGTAGCTCTGGAAGACCATGCTCACGTTCCGCTTCCGGGCGGGGACCTGCGTCACGTCCCGCTCGCCGAAGAGGATCGTGCCCTCGGTCGGGTCGCTCAGGCCGGCGACCATGCGGAGGAGGGTCGTTTTCCCGCACCCCGACGGTCCGAGAACGAACAGCAGGTCGCCCGCCGGGATCTCGATGGAGACGCGATTGACCGCCGTGACGTCACCGATCCGCTTGGTGAGTCCCTTGATGTGCACCGGGAGGCTCATGGTGGGGCGGATTGTACAGACATTGGCGAGCCGGTCGGCCCCCTCGGCGACCACGGGCGAATCCCAACGCGATCTTCACCCAATGCCGGGAACCGGGGACGTCCGATCACCCAACATCCACCGTCCATCGGCCCAGCATTCGCGCAATCTTCGCACATCTTCTCTTCCCATACAGACACGATGCGATATCATGCGGTCTACAACTTCACGAGGGCGGGTGAGGCAGAGCTCCAGATCGATACCCCCCGCGGCCGTTCGCAGACGCGATAGCGACCGCTCCCGGCTATCTCCCCAGCCGCCCGTTTCGAGACAACCGACAGTTTCTCCCCCAAGCGTGTGCGGGTCGTGACGAACGCTCCGAACCGTTCCCCGCCGCGTTAGATTGAACAGCACATCGGAACACACTGAACACGGATCACTCAAGCCGGAGTCACCAATGCGCGATCGCAAGGCCTTCACCCTCATCGAGCTGCTCGTCGTCGTCGCGGTCATCGCGATCCTGATCTCGATCCTCCTGCCGGCGCTGGGCAAGGCCCGCTGCGCTGCCCGGGCGATCCAGGCGGCGAACATCCAGCGTCAGATGGCGATCGGCGCCGCGTCCTACGGCGTGGAGAACAAGCAGTTCTTCCCCGGCGTGAACACCTCCGGCCTGACGGCGCTCGGGCACATCATCGCCGGCAACCTCGATCGGTTCGACGAGAACCCCGGCCTGCCCGTCCAGACGCTCGACTGGATGTCGCCCGCCCTGGGCGACGAGCTCCCCGACGAGCGCAACGCGCGGTTCGCCACGCTCATGTCCGTCTTCGCCGACCCGGCGCAGAAGTGGCCCGTGACCTTCCTCGGTTCCGGCAACGGCAACGTCCAACCCGACCAGGGCGCCGCCGACCTCGCGATGTACCTCGAGAACGAGTGGTACGGCGAGCCGCTCTCGGCCGTGAGCTTCCTTCAGCCCGCCAACTTCCAGCTCTACGGCGGCGACTCCATCGTCGACATCCAGGGCGGCGGCCCCTTCGGCGGCGGCACCGTGCTCGGCGTTCGCCGACTCGGCCAGGACAACGCCAGCGGTATCGATGGCCACGAATACGGCTCCACCACCGGCACCGCCGTCATCCCCGAAGGCTACGCACCCCGGTACGACAAGCTCCGCAACCAATCCGAGAAGATCTACTCGGCGACCGGCACGCGCTTCGTCACCGACAGCGGCATCCCCTCGACCAACGGCGGGTGGCAGGTCGATATCTACGGCGACTTCTGCTCCTCGGGCCCGACCTTCCGCGGCTCGAACGCCTACGGCGACATGCACGCCTCGAGCATGGGTCTCAACCTCCCGATCAGCTACCGCCACTGCAACATGCGGATGGTGGCCGCGTTCTGGGACGGCAGCTCCCAGCAGCTGAGCATGACCGAGAGCCGGGATCCCAAATACACGTGGCCCACCGCCTCCCGGTTCACCGCGAGCGAGTGGGAAGAGGTCCAGGCCGGGTACGAGCCCGGCGACCGCATCCCCTGAGCGGGCGCGTCACGACTGATCCGATCCAATCCCGGGCACGCGCCCGGACACACGTTTGAGAGAGATTGATCCTGCGTCGCCCACGGAGATACGCGGCGCACAACCCCAAAGGCGGAGAGACCTTTTCATGAAGACTCAGAAGAACCGGTTTATCGGTGCGTCCGTGATGCTCGTCGCGGCCGCCGGAGCCACCGTTTCCGCGGTGGACTTCGACCTCACCCTCCAGGGCGGTCAGTACGACACGACCAAGGCCGGCACGCTCGTCCGCGGCGCCGGCGCGTCGTACGACAGCGTCCGCGTCACCGTCCCGTTCATCCTGCCGGCCGACAACTCGCTGCTGAACGTCTGCGCCGTGCAGGCCGACCCGGCCGACTCGTCCCGCCCGCTCGGCTCGGTGACGACGGGCTCGAACGTCCTCGCCAACGCCCGCCTCGTCGCCGCGCTCGGCACGAGCGACATGGACTTCCCCATGGGCTCCGTCAACGCCTTCCTCGGCGAGGGCAACGACCTGAACTCCAACGCCACCGGCACCCTCCTCCCCGACGGCACCCTGGTCTGGCGCGAGGCGTTCAGCGGCGAGCAGAACAACCTCGGCTACATGGGCATCATGGCCGAGCCCCAGACCGCCCTCATGGACGTCGTCGACACCGCCGACAACCTCCTCTGGGACACGAGCTTCCCCGGCATCGGCGACGGCATGTCCGTCAACGCCGGCTCCGTCTTCACCGGCACCCCCGGCGCCGCCCGCAACGATCAGGGCACCCTCTACATCGGCAACACCAACTTCGACGGCTTCGGCGGCGACGTCCCCCGTGGCTGCAACGTCTGGGCCGCGCAGGCCGGCGGCGTCGATCCCAACGCCACCGTCGAGTCCTGGCTCCAGGACGACACCATCGGCGACCTGCTCCCCGATGAGGAAGGCAACGCCAACGGCGTCCGCCAGACCCAGCCCCACCTCCAGCGCTGCGTCGACCCCGACTCCGGCGCCGAGGTCATGTACGCCATCTTCGGCGTCGGCCTCTCCGGCGGCGTGAACCTCGGCGGCGGCTCGGCCGTCCCGCGTTACTTCGTCGTCGACTCCGCCACCGCGGGTGACGGCTACGCGAACGCCGTGTTCATCGAGGCCGACAACAACGGCCCCTCCGGCGACATCATGAACACCGACATCAACAACACCGATCCCGCCCTGGGCTTCATCGACCACCAGGCCACCGGCGGCGGCGCCGGCCCCTTCGTCAACTCCCAGTTCGACATGAACGAGAACGGCGACGTCGTCGCCCTCTGGGAGGACACCTCCGGCTCCATCACCGCTTACGAGATCCGCCTCTACAAGGCCGTCTGGTCCGGCGGCGTGATCACCGGCTACGACGCCCCCGTCACCATCGCCCGCACCGGCCAGGACGGCATCGAGGAGAACGTCCAGGACACCGTCAACGGCACGACCACCGAGCTCATCCCGATGACCGGCCCCGCCATCGATAACGATGGCCGCATCGCCTTCATCGCACTCACCGAGGCCATCTACGACCCGGCCGCCCCCGCCGGCATGCCCGACCTCATCGGCTCCACCAACTCCGTCATGGTCTGGGAGCCCACCACCGCGACCCTCCACGACGTCGCCCGTGGCGGCACCAACGGCGACACGCTCGCCGACGCCGACGCGGCCGACTCCGCCGGCGGCGACCTCTCCATCGAGATCGGCACCCTCCCGATCGACCCGCAGGGCACCTCCGACGCCTTCTCCCGCGCCTCGCTCTCCGACGAGGGCGGCTTCATCGCCGTGAACTTCCGCAACGGCGTCGCCAACGACCCCGCCTTCGGCGGCGGTGTCCTCTTCGACCCCAACATGCCCGCCGACACCTCCGATGTCGCCGTCCGCGGCACCATCATCATCGAGCTCGGCGACCTCACCGTCGCCCCGACCGTCTGCGTCGGCGACTGCGACGGCAACGGCACGGTCGAGTTCAACGACCTCGTCTCCATGCTCTTCGAGTTCGGCAACATGGCCGACTTCGATTGCGACGCGGACATGAACGGCACGGTCGAGTTCAACGACCTCGTCGCCGCGCTCTTCCTCTTCGGGCCCTGCCCGTAAGACGATCGACACCCCGCCCGGTCCGATCCGAGCGGCCCTCGATACCACGGAGGGCGGACGCCAGCGCGTCCGCCTTCCATTCATTTTGGACGCCCCCAGACCCGGCGCTTGACCCCGCCGCCCGGCGCGTCACGTTTCACTCGAGGCACAGGCGATCCGCCGCCCTCGGAAAGGCAGAGAAGAGATGTTCAAACGCCCACTGGTCCTCCTCGCCGCGTGCGGCATGACGCTCGCCGGCCCCGCCGCCCTCGCCGGCGAGGAACTCCCTCCGCTCGAGATCCGCGTTGTCACGCTCAACGTCAAAGAGGGCATCGGCGGCCCGGGCGAGAGCGCCCGCGAAGCGATGGGCGATTTCATCACCACGGTCGACCAGGACCCCAACGACGGCGCGACGGGCCTGCTCCCCGATGTCGTCTGCCTCCAGGAGTGCCGGAGCCTGCTCGACATCCAGTCCTTCCGCGACGACTTCCTCCCGGGCTACGTCATCAACCGCGTCATCGGCGGCGACGCGGGCGGGAACTTCAACGCCATCCTCTCCGCCCCGCAGCACCCGGTGCTCAACGTCGACGTCTTCGACACCGGCGGCCCGCGCCGCATCATCCGCGTCCACCTCAAGCCCGAGGGGGCGCTCGGCGTGCTCTCGGTCTACTCGGCGCACTTCAAGGCCTTCACCGATTCCGGCTCTCAGGCGACGCGCACCGTCGAGGCGGACAATTCCGGCTTCATCTACTCGATCGAGTACCTCAACGGCGCCGACGTCACCGACGACGGCACGCCCGATTTCACACCGGAACTCACCACCATCGCCTTCTGCGGCGACCTGAACTCCAACAACAACTTCGACGGCACCCTCGACGGCGTCTTCACCCACTTCCAGACGATGCAGCCCACCGGCGCGCAGAACCTCCCGATGGAGTCCATCAGCGGCGCCAACGCCGGCGGGGCGCCGATCACGTCGACCTTTGTCTCCGGCGGCCGCCTCGATTACATCTGCCTCGACGAGCGCACCGCCATGCTCTACGACGCCGATTCCAGCGGGTCGCTCGACCAGGACGAGGTCAACTCGATCGGCTTCGTCTACTTCTCCGGCGACGACGGCGGCGTGATGTCCAACGGCTCGACCAATTCCACGAGCTTCGCATCCGATCACCGCCCGGTCGTGGCCGACGTCCGCATGGCCGCGGACCCCAACGCCTTCTTCGCGCTCACCGACATCAACCAGGACTCCGTCACGGACACGGAGGACCTCGCGCTGTGGGAATCGCTCTTCGCGACAGGCTCCGCGCCGGACGTGAACGAAGACTTCGCCGTCGACCAGGCGGACCTCGACGAGATCCGCGACGCCGTCCGCGAGGACGAGGTCGCCGACGTCACCGCCGCGCCGTAAGATCCCCGCGACACCCCCTCCAAGGTCCACCAAAGGAGCACCCATGCCCCGCGCCGCCATCGCCGTTCTCGCCGCCGCCCTGAGCCTGAGCCTCGCGTCACCGGCCGCGGCCGAGACGGACGGCGTGAAGCGCATCGGGCAGGAGACGGCGAACCCCCGGACACCGGGAACGCTCCGCCTCGCGAGCTACAACGCGCTGAACCTCTTCGACGCGCACGACGACCCGATGCTCCAGGGCCGCAACGACGACGCGGACGACACCAAGCCGGACGCGGAGAAAAAGGCGCTCGCCGAGGCCATCAGAGCGATCGACGCCGACGTCATCGGCATGCAGGAGATCGAGTCTTTCTCGGCGCTCCAGGAGTTCGTCGACGAGTACCTCTCCGAGATGGGCTACAAGCACATCGTCTCCATCGACGTCGGCCAGGAGCGCGGCATCGAGAACGCGGTGATCAGCCGCTTCCCCCTCTCCGGCGCGCGCGTCTGGCCCGGCTACCCGCTGGGGGGCGTGCACCCCGAGAAGTACGGCGATTCGCGCAACTGGTACGCCGGCGAGCCGATCACGTTCCGCCGCTCGCCGCTCATGGTCGACGTGACCGTCCCCGCGGAGACGACGGGCACGGGCGAACCGTACGAGTTCACGCTCTTCGTCGTCCACCACAAATCCGGCTACCACAACGGGTATTGGCGCGAGGCGGAAGCCGAGACGATCGTCTCGTTCATCAACGACTTCCAGCGCGACGACCGCACGCGGAACATCGCCGTGCTCGGCGACTTCAACGCCCAGGCGCACGAAAAGTCGGTCGGGCTCTACCGCGAGCGCGCCGGCATGACCCACGCGCTCGGGCACGAGGGCCGGGACCGCAAGGAGCTGCTCACGCACTCCTCCGGACGCGCGATCGACTTCGTTCTGCTCAACAGGGCGATGGCCGGCGAGCTCGTCGAGGGCTCGCCCTTCGTCTTCGCGACGCCCGTCCGACCCGAGGACGCGGACTGGCGGACGACCCCCGCGCCCGAGGGATACGCCTCGGATCACATGCCCGTCGTGGTCGACCTGCGCTTGCAGGACACCCCAGATTAACGCCCAAAGAGGCCCGCTGACGGGCTCCTCACACACTCTTCACGCACAGTTCGCCACTTCCTTGGCGGAAATTGCGCTCCGGGGGTGTAGGATGGTGCACGAGTTGAGAGAGAGCGGAAGCGCGCCTCGATGGGGTGTGCGTGCCGACCGAGATCCCGGCTGCTTGACGCATCGGTGTCCCCGTCCCGCGCGTGGTTCCAAGGCTCTTTCAGTTTGTTGTGTTCACGAGAGAGATTGAAACGAACCAGGAAGAAGGAAACACTCACCATGAAGACTCTGATTGCTATCGGTGCGATCGCGACGGTTGCGACCGCCGCCAACGCCCAGATCGGCCGCGCCGTCTCCGCTGACGGCCTGGACAACTTCCTCTCCGAGACCATCACGGTCGCCCCCGGCTACGACGGCAACGCGATGCTCGGCCCCGCCTTCGGCTCCACCACCTGGGCGCCCGGCGACATGTTCGGCATCACGTCGCGCCCCGCCGCGATGGACACGGAATTCGACATCCCCTTCGCGATGGCCGACGACTCCAACGGCTCGTTCCCCGGCGACACCGCCGGCATCATCGACGCCAACGACAACGGCCGCTTCTTCGGCATCGTCGACTCCGTCAACGGCGACAACCCCGCCGGCAACGGCACCGCGTCCTGGAGCTTCGACATCACCGGCGCGACCGGCCTGTCGGTCAACATCGACTTCGCCGCCATGGGCGACTTCGAGTCCTCCAACGACCTCGTCGGCTTCACCTGGTCGATCGACGGCTCCACCCCGGCCGCGCTGTTCACCGGCTCCGTCGACGAAGCCGGCGCCTTGGACTACACGCTCGCCGGCGGCGCTGTCGTCAACCTGTCCGACCCCTTCCTCATCAACGGCAACGTGCTGAACAACGTCTTCCAGACGCTCAGCGCCGGGATCGCCGGCTCCGGCTCGACCCTGACCATCGCGTTCGACGGTCAGTTCGATGGCGGTTCCGAGGCCTTCGCCTTCCGCAACATCGAGGTCGTCCCGACCCCGGGTACCGCCGCGCTCCTCGGCCTCGGTGGCCTCGCCGCCGTCCGCCGCCGCCGCGCATAATCGGACGACGCCTTGATTGATCGACTCCCAAAGGCCCGCCCTCGCTTCGGGGGCGGGCCTTTCTTATGCGCGGGCGACGCCCGTTCGCGCCCTAGGATTGAAGTAGCATGACGCCGCACGCGAAAAAACCAGCCGCCCCCGGCAAGTGGATCCGGGGCCTCGCCCCGGACATGCGGGCCCACAAGGCCGCCTCTCGCATCCTCGACATCCGCCTCCGAGCCGCGATCGAGACGTTCGAGTGCGCGCAGTCCAACGGCGCCGAAGAGCCCGACGCCATCCGACGCGCACGCGTCGCCACCCGACGGGCCCGATCGGCCCTGGACGCGTTCCGCAAACTGCTGCCGCGAAAGGCCGCCAGGAAGCTCCGCCGCCACCTCAAGGCGATGCGCCGCCTCGCGGGCGAGCCGCGCGCCCTCGGCCTCGAGCGAGACGCCCTGCTCGAGCTCATCCACGACCTGTCGCCCGAAGCGAGCGCCGGCGCCGCCTACGCGTCGGGGGTCCTCGACGAGCGCCGGCCCGCGGCCCTCTCGAGACTCCGCGACGCCGAATCAGTCGATCTTGAGGATTACCGCAAGCAGTCGATCGCCTGCCTCAAGGCGCTCGGCTCGATCGACTCGGACCGCACCCTCGCGAAGCACGCCAAAAAACCCGTCGGATCCGCGCGAAGCGCCCTCGCCGATCACGTCAGTGCGCCCCTCGACACCCTCGACCGACTCCACGAGCTCCGCTTGCACATCAAACGCCTGCGGTACACGGACGAGCTCTTCCGCTGCTGCACGGACGCCGAGGAGTTCGACCGCCTCTACCCGGCAATGAAGGCGGTGCAGAAGCGGCTCGGCGAGCTGAACGACACCCACGAGCTGCACGCGTGCGTCGAATCCATGGCCGAGCAACTCGACTCGAATCACCCGATCCGCGCCGCGCTGCTCGCCCTCGCGAGCGAGCTCGAGCGCCGGCGCGACGAAGAACGCGACCGCCTGCTCGCGTGGTGGAACGACCCGGACGCGGACGAGCCGGCCGCGCTCCGCGAAGCGCTGGGGCTCGATGCCGGCGTCGAATCCCCTACACTTGAGCCGCCGAGCATCGAGCGATGCATCGACCGGGCCATCGAGACCGCGGTGATCCGAAGCCAGCAGAACGGGGCCGCCCCATGAGCACCAACGCCGCCGATTCCCGTCGCCTCGCGGTGATCGATATCGGGACCAACAGCATCCGCCTCGTCGTCGCCGAGGCGCTCGAGGAGGGCGGCTACCGCACCCTCGACGACGAAAAGGTCATGGCCCGCCTCGGCAAGGGCATCGCCACCACCGGCGCCATCGCCGAGGACTCGATCCAGCTCGCGGCCGAGACCGTCAACCGCATGCGCCACATCGCCGAGGGGTACAACGTCTCGTGCATCCGCGCGATCGCGACCGCCGCGGTCCGCGACGCGCACAACGGCGACGAGGCCGTCAAGGCCATCGAGAGCTGCGCCGGCATCCGGATCGAGCGCATCAGCGAGGACTACGAGGCGAAGCTCGCCTACCGCTCCGTCGCCGAGGCGTTCGACATCAACGCCCTGAACACCGCGATCGTGGACGTCGGCGGCGGCTCGACGGAGATCGTCATCACCGTGAAGGGTGTCGTGGAGCACGTCTACTCGCTCCCGCTCGGCGCCGTCCGCCTCACCGAGCAGTTCGGCAAGCTCGACGACCCCTTCGACCAGCAGTACTTCGACATGCGCGCCTTCGTGAAGCGCACGCTCAAGGAGAACATCCCCAGGCCCGAGGTCCCGCTCCACTGCGTCTTCGGCACGGGCGGCACGTTCCGGGCGCTCGGCTACATCTCCGTCTGCCGCCAGACCCCCGGCGCCGCGTCGGACGTCACGCCCATCGCCGTCCGGGGCCACGAGATGCAGGCGGACGAGATCCGCCACATCCTCCACTGGGTGCGCAAGACCGCCGCCGACCAGCGCGCGAGCAGCATCCCCGGCCTCTCGCCCGACCGCGCGGACATCGTCCCCGCGGGGATCCTCATCATCGATCGCGTCATGAAGCGGCTGGAGTGCAACCGCGCCCTCGTCCACGACCGCGGCATCCGCGACGGCCTGCTCCTGGAGCTGCTCGACGACCTGCCGGACGTGCACTCCGATTCGTCGAGCAAGCGCCAGCGCACGCCGATCGACTCGGCCCGCACCTTCGCCCAGAAGTGCAACTACGAGGAGCAGCACTCCGAGCACGTCGCGACCCTCGCGACGCGCATCTTCGACCAGCTCGTCGGCCTCTCGAACGCGAACGGCGAGGCGTGGGCGACCGACGAGAGCCGCGCCCTGCTCGAAGCGGCGGGGGTGCTCCACGACATCGGATACCTCATCAACTACTCGAAGCACCACAAGCACGCCTACCACCTCATCGTCCACTCCGACCTCCCCGGCTACACGAGCCGCGAGCTGGAGATCGTCGCGAACATCGCCCGCTACCACCGCCGATCCGAGCCCAAGCCGGGCCACCCGCGCTTCATGCGCCTCGCCAAGCCCGACCGCGAGCTCGTCCGCCGCCTCGCCGGGATCCTCCGGATCGCCGACGGCCTCGACCGCACGCACACGCAGCACGTCAAGGACGTCGTCCTCGAGCTCGACCACCCGACGCTCACCATGTACGCCGTCGCGGACGAGATCCCCTCCGTCGACGTTTGGGGCGCCGAACGCAAGAGCAAGCTCTTCCAGGACGCCTTCGGCTTCGACCTGCGCTTCCAGTGGCGGCCCACCTCGCCCGAAAAGCCCGCGCAGCAAATCCCACCAAGAGCCCAGCATGCCGAGACGCCCTGACCGAGCCACGAAACGCCGCCGCCGATGGACGCGGATCGTGCTCACCCTCGGCCTCGCGTTCGTCCTGCTCGTGCCCGTCTTCTCCCTCGTCGCGTGCGACCTCATCGCCGAGGGCGCCCCGCTTCGGATCAACGGCGTGGACAACTACACCATCGATCTCGACAAGCCCGAGGGCGTCTCCCTCGCCGTCTGGGAGACCGGCGAGAAGGACGCGCAGCGCGTGATCTACGTCCACGGCACGCCCGGCTCGTCCAACGCCTGGCACGCCTACCTCCGCGACCCGCTCCCCGGCGCGCACACGTTCTCCATCGACCGCCCCGGGTTCGGCGAGACGCGACCGAAGAAGGCCGTCTCGAGCTTCGAAGAACAGGCCGCGGCCATCGAGCCGCTCCTCGAACCCTCCGCGGACGGCGAATGGCCGATCCTCGTCGGGCACTCGCTCGGCGGGCCGATCGTCGCCCGCGCCGCGGCCGACCACCCGGGACGCGTCGGCGGCATCGTCATCGTCGCCGGCTCCCTGAGCCCCGAGCTCGAAAAACCGCGCTGGTACAACCACGCCGGGAACTTCCCGCTCATCCGCCCCTTCCTGGGCCGCTCGATGGGCAATTCCAATGATGAGCTCATGGACGCCCCCGAGCAGACCGAGCTCCTCGACGCCGTGCTCGCGAACGTGACGTGCCCGGTGCTCATCGTCCACGGCACCAAGGACTCGCTCGTGCCCTACGCGAACGTGGCGTACATGGAAGAGGCGTTCACGAACGCCGAATCCGTGCGCACGATCACGATGGAGAACGAAGGCCACTTCGTCATCTGGACGCGCGAGGGCGAGATCCGCGACGCGATCCGCTCGATGCTGGACTAGCGACCGATCTCGTCGAGGAACGTGTTCACGTCGAGGATCACGACGTCGTCGCGCTCGCGGAGCTTCTCGAGGAACCAGTACTTGTGGTACGCGCCGTAGGTGACGAGCACGCGCCGCCCCTCGCCCCGGACGCGGTCCAGGTGGTCCGCGATATGCCCGTAGTGCCTGGCGTTGATGGTGTCCCACCCGCCGTCGCCCAGCTCTTCGTTGAAATACTCGTTGTACGGCCCGCCGTACCCGCGCTTCACGGCCGCGTCGTACGCGTCCGAGTGGATGGCGCGCGGGTCGTCACTCCCGCCGAGCGCCGCGATGTCCGCGTCGAGTTGCGCGACCGCCGCCTCGTGCTCGGCCCACTGGTCCGCACGCGCGGGGTCTTTCGAGATCGCGTCGAGTTTCTTCTTCCGCTCGTCGGCCATGTGTTGGGTCCACCCGGCCGTCGGAATAATGCGGAGGTGAAGTTCCTCCACCAGAGGGAAAATGCTGTCGATGTATTCCGGAAACATGCTGACCCGAGAGTCTGTCACGATGGTTCCGTAATACACCGGCCCGTAGACGTATCGCCAACGGTCCGGCGGGATTTCTGCACACACATCGTCGGCCTTCACGGCTCGGACGAGGTCCATGAGCACGTCGAGGCTGTACAACTCGCTGTCGAGATGTCCTGAGTGGATCGTGCCGAGAACGACAACTTCGGTTTTGGGATCGTCGGGTCCGAGTGGCGCTGGGGTGACACTCAGTCGTGCGACCGAATTGCCGTCTCTGTTTGCGATATAGACGCATTTGCCCGACGGATCACACACCGGGAATGATGGTGTCATCGAGCTGAACTGGATTACTCCGGCACGTGCACGATCCACGACATCAATGATCTCGATGCGTCGCGCTTCAGGACTGTTGACGAGCGCGAACTGGCCATCAAGGACCGGTACGATTTCTGAGAGCGGGGAGAAGCCTTCAAGTGTTGTGATCTCGAGTGAGCCTGTATCGACGATCGTGATCGCTCCACAAAGTGATCCACAACTCGCTGCTATGAGATACCGGTCGTCATGAATAAAATCGTAGTCAGAGCACGAGAACGGGAGATCGATTTCGATACAGAACTGCTCGGTGCCAGAGAACGCGGCGAGGCTGATCTTGCTGTTGGGCACAGCGAGATGCTGGCTTCGAGACTCGTTGTCGGAACAGCTGTGGGTATAGCGGCACGCTCGCAAATTGCTTCGGTGCGAAAAGGTGCAATCGACATCTAGTGTGTGATTGCAGATGAGCATATCGGGATCATGGATGTGACTCGACCCAGAATTCAGGTCAATGACCAACGATGCTCCGCGATCACCGAACGATAACCTCAGCGTGCTCCTATCCGGATCGATGCTCACGTTGTTGTACGCGCGGTACGGGCCGGTTTCATAAACACCGATGAGAGCAAAGCTGTGGCAATCAATGAGCGCAATTCCGTGGTTTTTTTCATCCGCAAAGTTGCCAGAGTTCTCATCAATGAGCGACACCATCAGGATGTCGCCTTCGGGAGTGAGACCCATCCAGAATGGCTGACGGTCAAATTGCACGGTCTCGTTGACGTCGAACCGTGTCCCGTCCTTCAGGACGAGTGAGTGGCCCAGTGCGAGCGGAGCCAGAATCAGCAGTGCCAGTGTGACGACAACGGTTCTGAGCATGCCCGGCGACCTCTCAATGAAAATGGCTCTTCTGTCGTACCGGCATCCGTGCGAGCCGTGACAGTCTTCCCTCGTCACATTTTCGACTTTCGGGGCGGGTCGAGGTTCCAATCATGTCCCAAACACCCCAAATCAGGACGTGTGCGTTGACGCCGTATGCATCATAATTCACCCGCTGCAAGATCCGTCCCGCGCGTGCGGGCGGCCCCAGTTGAAGGAGCACCCCCGATGATGGACACCCTCTTCAACGGCGACGCCGTGTGGTTCACGGCCCCCGCGATCGTCGCGACCGTCTTCTTCCTGCTCAAGCTCGTGTTCATGCTCGCCGGCGGCGGGCTCGACGCCGAAATGGACGCCGGCGGGGTCGACTTCGACGCCGACGTCGCCATCGACGCGGATTCCGCCGAGGCCGCGTCGGACGCCAACCTCCGCGTCCTCTCCGTCCAGGTGATCGCCGCCGCCATCATGGGCTTCGGATGGGGCGGCTTCTCGGCGCTCAAGGGCTTCGGCACAGGCTTCGGCGAGAGCATGATCATCGGCCTCGGCTGCGGCCTGCTCTTCGGCTGGGTGCAGATCTGGCTCATGAAGCTGCTCTACTCCATCAGCGAGTCCGGCAACATCTCCGTGCGCGACGTCCTGGGCCGCGAAGCCGAGGTCTACCTGACCATCCCGCCGGGCAAGCAGGGACGCGGGCGCATTCGCGTGACCGTCAACGACCGTCACCGCATGTACAACGCGATCACCGCCGACTCCGAGCCCATCGCGACCAAACGACGCGTGCGCATCCTGCACGCGAGCGACGACAACACCGTCACCGTCGAGGCGATCTGACCACACCATTCTGGAGCATACGATGCATTCAACCGCCCCTCTGAATTCGCTCGCCGCCGCGGCCGGCGGCCCCGGCTCCCCGATCCTCATCCTCACGGTGATCGGCGCGCTGGTCCTCCTGATGGTCATCGCCATCATCTCCGTCTCCGTCTTCTACAAACGCTGCCCCTCCAACCGGATCCTCGTCATCTACGGCAAGGTGGGCGGCAAGAAAGCGTCCAAGTGCCTCCACGGCGGCGGCACCATGGTCGTCCCCCTCCTGCAGTCCCACGCCTACCTCACCCTCGAGCCCGTCGTCATCGACATCCCCCTCGAGGGCGCCCTCTCGCTCAATAACATCCGCGTGAACGTGCCCAGCACATTCACCGTCGGCGTTTCCACCGACTCCGTCCTCATGAACAACGCCGCGGAACGCCTGCTCTTCCTCACGATGCAGCAGATCCGGGATCAGGCGCAGGACATCATCCTGGGCCAGCTCCGCCTCGTCATCGCGACCCTGTCGATCGAAGAGATCAACAAGGACCGCGAGAAGTTCATGTCGCTCATCAACGAGAACGTGGGCGCCGAGATCAACAAGATCGGCCTCGAGCTGATCAACGTGAACATCCGCGACATCACGGACGAGTCGGGCTACATCAGCGCGATCGGCAAGCGTGCCGCGGCCGAGGCGATCAACCGGGCCAAGGTCGAGGTCGCGGAGCAGGAGCGCGAGGGCGCGACCGGCGAGGCGATCGCCGTCCGCGAGCAGACCGTCAACGTCGCCCGAGAGAGCGCGCTCGCCGTCCAGGGCAAGAAGGAAGCGGAGCGCGACCAGCGCGTCGCCGTCGCGGCGTACGAGGCCACCACGGTCGCGAAGGAAGTGGAATCCAGGCGAGACCTCGAAGTCGCCACCGCCCAGCGCGAGGCGGAGACGATCGCGGCCAAGAAGGACGCCGAGCAGGCTCAGCGTATCCGCGTGGCCGAGGCCGAAGCCCGAGCGGTGGACGGCGAGAACACGTCGCGCGCCGAGATCGAAAACTCCAACGCCAAGCTCGCGGAGATCCGAGCCGAGGCGAACCGCCGATCGGACGTCGCGGCCGCCGAGTCGATGCAGGCCATCTTCGCCGCCGAACGCGAGCGCGAACTCGCCCGCCTGGCGAAGGACGAGCTGGCGCCGCAGGAGATCGAGAAGAAGCGCATCGAGATCGCCGCCGAGGCGACCGCCGAGAAGGCACGGCGCGAGGCGAAGGGCGAGGCCGACGCGATCCTGGCACGCTACATGGCAGACGCGGAGGGCACCCGCAAGGTGCTCGAGGCGAAGGCCGAGGGCTACCGCCAGCTCGTCGAGGCGTGCGCCCAGAACCCGCAGGTCGCGCCCACGCTCCTCATGATCGAGCAGCTCCCGCAGCTCGTCGCCGAGCAGGTCAAGGCGATCCAGAACCTCAAGATCGACAAGATCACCGTCTGGGATTCCGGCACGGGCGGCGCGGGCTCGAAGAACGGCACGCGCGGCGCCACGGCCGACTTCCTCTCCGGCCTCATCGGCTCGCTCCCGCAGATCCACGAGCTCGCCGACCAGGCGGGTATCGAACTGCCCAACGCCTTCGGCCAGGTGCGAGAGACCAAGCCCGAGACCCGCGTCGCCCGCGCGTCAACCGAGGACAACGGCGCCGTGGACGGAGAGGCCGACGCGACGTGAGAGGAGTGACAGGATCGTCAGTCGAAAAGCGCGTCAGCCCGGCGTGGAGCCGGCGCGGCTCGGATTGAACGGGCAGCAGGCCCCGATCTCATGCCGCGGACGCGCCGCAGGCCTCGCGAGCCGAATAATGAACCCCGTCCCGACAACACCCGAGAGCGGCACGCACACCACGACCGCGATGGAGGCATCGCTCACGACGAGCAGGACCGTGCTGACCGCGATCGCGATCCACATCAGCGACAGGGACGTCCACATCACCCGACGCGGCATCGGCTCGCCGGAGTCCAGGAAGCGCAGGTACGGGCGGAAGAACCGATTCCGGACGAGCCGGTCCTCGAGCCACGGGCAACTCCGCGTGAAGCACCACGAGGCCGCGATCAGGAACACGGTCGTCGGCAGACCGGGAACGACCGCCCCGATCGCGCCGAGCGCGACGCAGGACACGCCGAGACCGACCAGTGTCCACCGTCGGACGTTGGGCGTCCGCGATGCACCGGTTCGGGCGTTCGGAAGTGTCCGGGAAGCGGCTTGCATAAGACCGGGCCACCCCTCTCAGGGAGGCCCGGGGTTGCGGTATCATAGAGACTCAGTCTCAACGGCGCACGCTCACGCGCCCGCCATTTCTGTGTTTTTTGCGGTCGACATCGCCGCGTCGAGGTCGATGCCGAGCTTCTGCGCCACACGCTTGCCGTAGTCCTCATCGGCACGGAAGAAGTGGCAGATCTGACGCAGCTGGATCTCCTCGCGGGCGTCGCCCAGCACGCCGGCCAGACGCGTCGTGAGGCGGTCCTTCTGGCCCTCGTCGAACAGCCTGTAGAGGTTACCCGCCTGCGTGAAATCGTCGTGGTCCTCCGTCGAGTCGTAGCGGTCCACCACCGCCTGCCCGAGGTTCCACTCCGGGTCGAGGTACTTCTCGTTCGGCTGCGGCGTGCCCTGCAGCGTGTTGGGCCAGTAGTTCGGCGCGTCGCCGTACGTCTCGGCGGTCGCGCCCTGCCCGTCGCGCATGTAGTGCATCACCGGGCACCGCGGCTTGTTCACCGGGATCTGGTGATGGTTCACGCCCAGGCGGTGCAGGTGCGTGTCCGCGTAGCTCATCAGGCGGGCCTGGAGCATCTTGTCCGGGGAAGGGCCGATGCCGTCCACGAGCGCCGACGGCTTGAACGCCGCCTGCTCGACCTCCGCGTGGTAGTTCTTCGGGTTCCGGTTCAGCTCCAGCTTGCCGACCTCGATGAGCGGGAAGTCCGCGTGCGGCCAGACTTTGGTCAGGTCGAACGGGTTCCACTGGAACGACTCGGCCTGCTCCTGCGTCATGACCTGCACCTTGACGGTCCACGACGGGAAATCCCCCCGCTCGATCGCCTCGAACAGATCCCGCTGGTGGCTCTCGCGGTCCCTGCCGATCAGTTCGGCGGACTCCTCGTCCGTCATGTTCTTGATGCCCTGGTCCGTCTTGAAGTGGAACTTGCACCAGACTCGCTCGCCCGCCTCGTTGATGAACGAGTACGTGTGGCTGCCGTAGCCGTTGATGTGGCGGTAGCTGGCGGGGCAGCCGCGGTCGGAGAAGAGAATGGTCACCTGGTGGAGCGACTCGGGGCACTGGCTCCAGAAATCCCACTGCATGTCGTTGTCGCGGAGGTTGGTGTCGGGCTGGCGCTTCTGCGTGTGGATGAAGTTTGCGAACTTGTACGGGTCGCGCACGAAGAAGACCGGCGTGTTGTTGCCGACGAGGTCCCAGTTGCCCTCGTCCGTGTAGAACTTCACCGCGAAGCCGCGGACGTCGCGCTCCGCGTCCGCCGCGCCGCGCTCACCCGCCACCGTCGAGAACCGCAGGAAGCACTCGGTCTGCTTGCCGACCTTCGAGAAGATCGCGGCCTTGGTGTACTTCGTGATGTCGTGCGTGACGGTGAACGTGCCGTAGGCGCCCGAGCCCTTCGCGTGCACGACCCGCTCGGGGATCCGCTCGCGGTTGAAGTGCTGCATCTGCTCGAGCAACTGAACGTCCTGCATGAGCAGCGGGCCGCGCGGGCCGGCGGTCAGCGCGTGCTGGCGGCCGATCGGCGTGCCCTCGGCGGTCGTGAGGTGGGGGCATTTGTCGGTCATCTGGGGTTCTCCTCAGGTGAAACGGTGGTCCGGAAAGCCGGGTGGGGGATCACAATTGGTTTAGAACAGTTCCAATCTAGAGAGGGTACTGTAGCACAAGCAAACACCCAGAATCCTTTCGATCTGCTGCGGAAATAGTGAAAAATCAAAAGAATCAAAGGGAAATTAACGCAAACGCCGCACGTATCCGGAGAGATGTCTGGTGAGACGGCAAAGGACCGATTTCGGCGATTTCCACCGCTCACGCGAATCGTGGGATCCGGGCCACGCGTGGGGGAGTATGGACGTGTGAGGAGCGAGCACGCATCCAGACGAGGCCGGCGACCCACACGGGTCGGCCACGAAAAAACACGACCAGCGGCGGCTCTCGCTGCTGAACCAGGACGAGTCGAGGCAACTTCCGGGGCCTCGGCTTGTTTTATGGCCCGACGCGACGGTCATTCCGCCCTCGACTACAATCGCTTTCCCCCGATTTTTCCAGCTTCGCGACGGAGACCGCCCACGTCATGACGACCTCGCTGCACAGCGCCACCACGGAGTTCGAGAAGCTCGACCGTTGCGAAGGCCTGGACCACCGCCCCCGCGTCCTGCTCGGCAAAATGGGCCTCGACGGCCACGACCGCGGCGTCAAGGTCATCGCCCGGGCGCTCCGCGATTCCGGCGTCCACGTCATCTACTCCGGCCTCTGGCAGACGCCCCGCTCGCTCGCCATCTCCGCGCGCGACGAGGACGCCGACGTCGTCGCCGCGTCGATGATGTCCAACTCCCACCTCGTCCTCGGGCCGCGTCTGCTCAACGGCCTGAAAGAATTCGGCCGGCCCGACCTGCCCGTGCACATGGGCGGCATCCTGCCCGAAAAAGACATCCCCGAGCTGCTCGAGGCGGGCATCAAGCAGTGCTTCCCGACCGGCACGGGCCTGCTCGACATCGTCGAAGCCGCCCGCTCCTGCGTCGCCGAGCGCGCGCAGAACATCAGCGACCACCCCACGGCCCAGCTCGCGCGGGACATCTCCCTCGCGCACGATGGCCGGGCCGTCCGGGGTGACGCCCCGCGCCGCCGGCCGAAGCGCGTCATCGGCGTGACCGGCTCGCCCGGCGCGGGCAAGTCGACGCTGGTCGCGGCCCTCGCCTCGGAGCACGCGATGCGCGCCGAGAAAGACGCATCGCTCGGGCGCGTCGCCGTCGTCGCGTTCGACCCGCAATCGCCCATCACCCGCGGCGCGCTGCTCGGCGACCGCCTGCGCGTGGATTTCAACCGACTGGAGGAGCGCGTCTTCTACCGCTCGCTCGCGATCTCCGGCGAGGACTACCACGCCCTGGACGACATCATCGAGCTCATCGGCGGCTGCCCGGACAACGGGCTTGGCGCCTTCGACACCGTCTTCGTCGAGACCGTCGGCGCCGGCCAGAACGAGGTGAAGATCCGCGACCACGTCGACACCACCGCCGTCGTTCTCGTCCCCGGCATGGGCGACGCGGTCCAGATGGACAAGGCGGGCATCCTCGAGATCGCCGACCTGTTCGTCTGCAACAAGGCGGACCACCAGGGCCAGAACGAGCTCGTCCGCGACCTCAAGGAGATCGCCGGCAAGCGCACCGTGCTCGAGACCGTCGCCACCCACAGCTCCGGCGTCACCGAACTCTACGACGCGCTCATGGGCTGACGTGACCGCCCTGACCTTCACGCAGCACGACCCCGACGGCACCGGTCTCGTCACCGACGAAACGGGCGTCCCGTGGGCGCACGCGCTGGGCGGCAACTGGAGCGACGAAGAGTGGGGGCGGCGCAACGGTGAAAAGCTCCGCTCGATGATGAGCGGGAGCGTCGAGGCGCCCCGCGTGATTCTCTGGTCGCACACACCCGCGGACGAACTGTTCTCGTCGCACCCGCTGGCGTGGCAGCAGGACGCCTGGGACAAGCTCAACGCGTTCATCGGGATGGTCCTCGCGGAGCGCTCCGACCGCGGCGCTCGTCTCCTCGTCCGGACCCACGCGCGGCACGCGCTCTCCGACGCCCAGCGCTGCCGTGCGTTCAAGGCGGAGTGGGCAGGGCACGACGTCGGCGTCCTGCTCGACCCGACCTCCATGCTCGAGCCCTCGATGGTGGCCACCGCGCCGGACCATTTCGAGCGAATCCTCGACGGCGCGCTGGACGTCGCCGACGCGGTGCTCGTCGCGAACGTGCGCGAGGCGGACACCCTGGGCGCCGACCTGCGCCCATGCGAAAAGAGCGACGGCCTGATCGAGCCGTCGCTCCTCGAGATGTTCGAGACTCAGGGACGCGTCCCGGCGATCCGGTTCGCGGGTTCGGGTTAGGCGTCGCAGGGGCCGAAGAGCAGCAGCGTGCAGACGAGGTCGTTGAAGTCGATCTGGCCGCTGCCGTCGCAGTCGATCGAGCCCGTCGGCGTGTCGTCGCCGAACTGGAAGAGGATGCAGACCAGGTCGTTGAAGTTGATCTCGTCGCTGCCGTCGCAGTTGCCCGGGCAGGTGAGCAGGCGGTTGTCGTAGTAAACGGCCTTGTCGTCGATCTCCGAGAGCACGAAGACGTCGATGTCGCCGTCGCCGTCGAAGTCGGCGGCCTCGATCTGCGTCGGGTCGAGGAACTGCCCGGGGAACAGGAACGGGTCGAACTCGGGGAAGAAGTTCACCACGTTGTTGAGCCACACCGGCGCGAAGCGCGGGTCCTCGTTGGGGTTGACCGGGACGGGCACTTCCAGATCCAGAAGGATGTCGAGCGAGCCGTCATTGTTCAGGTCCGCGAGCGCGCCATCGAACGCGACGCCGTCGCCCGTCACGTCCGTCTCGAAGAGCGGGATGCGGTCGAAGTTCGTCCCCGGACCGGGGCCCGTGTTCTTGTACACGTCCACGATCTCGCTCACCGCCACGATGTCGAGGTCGCCGTCGTTGTCCAGGTCGCCCAGCTGCGGCGTGACGATGCACGTCGAATCGAAGAGCCGGAGCGGCGTGAACGTGGGGGGGGAGTTTCCGTCGTTGAAGTAGACCGACGCCGTGTTCACGTTCGGGTTGCAGCGGGCGCCCGTGGAGGCGCTGCCGCCGATGAAGTCCATGTCGCCGTCCTGGTCGATGTCCGCCGCGTTGAGGATCACGTCGCGGTTGTACAGGCCGTTGATGATGATGCGCAGCTCGAACTGCGGCGGCGTGCCGCCCAGGTTCTCGTAGTACCCCAGGTCAACAAAGCCAAACTGGTTGAACAGCAGGTCGATGTCCTCGTCGCCGTCGATATCGACGGGCAGCACCTGGCGCGAACCCGCGAAATCGGAGACCAGCACCGAGGTCTCGAACGACCGCACGTCGTTGTTGATCGTGGACTTGAACAGCAGCACCTCGCCGACGTCGCCCTGCGCGATGACAACGTCCTTCAGGCCGTCGCCGTCGAAATCGACCGGGTACGCCGTCCGGGGGTTGTCAACCTCGGTCGCCTCGGCGATCGTCTGGAGCGTGAACGTCGGCGGGGTCGTCGTGCTGTCGTTCTCGTACCAGCGCACCGGGCCAAACTCCGTCACGACGATCAGGTCGGGATCGCCGTCGAGATCGAAATCGTCGGTGACCGCGAAGACCGGACCGAAGATCGTGCCGAGCGGGTGCGCGCGGAACTCCGGGACGGTGGTGGCAAAGGACGCCGAAGCGGCCAGCGCCGAGAACGCACAAACCATCAGGCGGGTGGAACGAGCCATGTTTCAGGTCTCCTGTGCGAGGTCCGGGTTGCGGATGGGTCTGTCTGTATGGTTGCGCGGGAACCGCGAAAAGTAAAGGGGGTGTTCGTCATCCGGATCGATGACGCGCCGGCATCACCAAGAAAGCCGTAGGGAATCGCCCGCCCCGCCCGCCGGGTGAGGCCCGTCGAACACCCGCGTGATGCCAAAAGGCACGCTCAGATCGCCTCAGCCGTCAAAAAAACGGGAACGACCACGCTACGATGTGCCCATGAGCACCACGCCCAACCCGGATCACCCCGTCCTCGCCCGCGTGAAGCAGGCTTTCCCGAACGCCCGCCTCCGCGCCACGGAGTACCGCGGGCAGAGCACGCTCATCGTCGAGCCAAAGGACCTCAGCGAGGTCATGACATTCCTCCGCGATGACGAGGACTGCCGCTTCGATTTCCTCTCCGACGTCTTCGGCGTCGACTACCTGAACTACCCGAGCGAGACGATCGGCCGCTTCGCGGTGATCTACAACCTCTGCTCGTACGAGCGCGACGACCGCCTTTTCGTGAAGGCGTACCTCGACCCCACCGGACCCACCGACGGCATCGACGACGACCCCGGCCTGCACATCGATTCCGTCTGCCCCATCTGGCCCGGCGCCGAGTGGAACGAGCGCGAGGTCTTCGACATGTTCGGCATCCGCTTCGACGGACACCCCGACATGCGCCGTATCCTCCTCTGGGAGACCTACCCGGCACACCCGCTCCGCAAGGACTACCCCGTGATCGGCCGCGGCGAGCGCGAGAACTTCAAGATCGTCAGCCGCACCGACGCGTAGCTCGGTCGACGTTTCAGAAGTCGCGGGGCAGGGTTCTCTTGTTCCGGCTGCCCGGATCGTGCGCACATGAAAGCGTGTTCCCATGCCCGACCCAACTGCGCGCCACCGCGTCGTCATCCTGGGCGGCGGCTTCGCCGGCCTGCAGGCGGCGTTCGCGCTGAAAAAAGCGGACGCGGACGTCACCATCGTCGACCGCCAGAACCACCACCTCTTCCAGCCGCTGCTCTACCAGGTCGCCACCGCGTCGCTCTCGCCGGCGGACATCGCGGCTCCGATCCGGCACATCGTCAAGGGTGTGCGCAACTGCCGGACGGTCCTGGCCCGGGCGAAACGCGTGGACGCGGATCGCCGTGTCGTCGTGCTGGACGAGGGCGAGATCCCCTACGACACGCTCGTCCTCGCGACGGGCGTGCGCCACGCCTACTTCGGCCACGACGAGTGGGAGGCGCACGCGCCGGGGCTCAAGTCGCTCGACGACGCGCTGCGAATCCGCGACCGGTTCCTCCTGGCGTTCGAGCAGGCCGAGCTGGAGGAGGACCCGGAAAAGCGCCGCGCGGCGCTGACGTTCGTCATCGTCGGCGGCGGGCCGACGGGGGTCGAGCTGGCCGGCGCGATGGCCGAGATCGCCCGCCGGGCCATGAAAAAGGACTTCCGGCGCATCGACCCCTCGACCGCGCGGGTCATCCTCATCGAGGGCGAGGACCGCGTGCTCAACGCGTTCGACCGCAAGCTCTCGAATCGCGCCAGGGCTGATCTCGAATCACTCGGCGTTGACGTCTGGCTCAACACCCGCGTCACCGGCGTCGACGAGGGGGGCGTGGAAGTCGGCGACGAGCGGATCGCCTCGCGGAACGTCGTCTGGGCGGCGGGCGTCGAGGCGCAGGGCGTCGGCGGTTCGCTCGGCGTCGAGACCGACCGCTCGGGGCGCGTCCCCGTCGAGCCGGACCTGACCGTGCCGGGCCGACCCGAGATCTTCGTGCTGGGCGACCTCGCGAAGATCACCGACCCGCGCACCGGCGAGGACGTGCCCGGGATCGCGCCGGCGGCGATGCAGATGGGCAAGTACGCCGGCCGACGGATCCGCGAGCGGCTCGAGGGGCGCGCGTCGGACGCGCCGTTCCGCTACACGGACAAGGGGATGCTCGCGACGATCGGGCGGGCGAGGGCGGTGGGGAGCATCGCGGGCATCAAGATGGCGGGGTTCGTCGCCTGGTTCCTGTGGGCGGCGGTGCACATCTTCTTCCTGATCGGCTTCCGCAACCGGCTCGTCGTGGTCATCTCGTGGGTGTGGGCGTACGTGACGTTCCAGCGCGGCGCCCGGATCATCGTGCCGGAGCACGAGGACGAGCGCATCGAGGAAGACACGCCGGCCTCGTCCGGCGTCTAGATCGAAGCCCCCGCCGCCCGCTCAACGCAGGCTCGGACGATCCCGATGGCTTCGCCGATCTCTTCGGCTGTCGTCTCGCGCGAGAGGGAGAAGCGGACGGCGCTGAACGCGATGTCCGCCGGCGTGCCCGCCGGGAGCTCCATCGCCTCGATGACCGGGGATGACTCCATCGCCCCGCTCGCGCACGCGCTGCCGGCGCTCGCGCACAGGCCCGCCTCGGAGAGCGCGATGATCAGCAGCTCCGCCCGAACCCCCGGGAACGCGACATTCACGGTGTTCCACAGCCGACGCGAGGTGTCGGCGGGCGAGATGAGCAGCGAGCCGTCGCACGACCCGAGGATCGCCCCCTCCAACTCGTCCCGCAATGCCTCGACGCGCGCGATGTTCGATGGTTCGCCGAGCCACCGCTCTGCCGCCTGCGCCGCCGCGCCCATCGCCGCGATGCACGCGGTGCTCTCTGTCCCCCCGCGCCGCGCCAGCTCCTGCGTGCCGTGAACGGCGGGGGTGAGGCGGACGTCCTCGCGGACGAACAACGCACCGGCGCCCTTGACGCCGTGGAACTTGTGGGCGGAGAGGGTGAGCAGGTCGACCGCTTTGTGCGCATCAGAGAGGTCGATGGGCAGCTTGCCGGCGGCCTGCGTCGCGTCCGTGTGGAAGAGGACGCCCTTTTCGCGCACACCGTCCGCGATTTCGCCGATCTGCTGGATCGCGCCGGTCTCGTTGTTCGCCCACTGCACGCTCACGAGGGCGACGGATTCGTCGATGGCGTCGAGGACGTCCGCCGTGCGCACGAAGCCGCGCCCGTCGACGGGGATCGTGCGCCACGAGGCGCCGCCCGTCTTCGCGAGGTGGCCCATGAGGTCGCGGATGGCCTCGTGCTCGATGGGCGTGGTGACGATGGTGCGCCTGCCCTCGGGCATTTTCTCGAGGACGCCCCGGAAGGCGGCGTTGATGGACTCGGTCCCACCGCTGGTGAAGACGATCTCCCGGCCGCGCGCGCCGATGAGGGACGCGACCTGTTTCCGAGCGAGCTCGACGCGCCGGCGCGCCTCCTGGCCCATGCGGTGCGCGGACGAGGGGTTGTGCCAGCGCTCGGTGAGCATCTCGTTCGCGGCGGCGACGGCCTCGTCGCAGGGTCTCGTGGTCGCGTTGTTATCCAGATAGATCACGCGCCGATTCTACGGGCGTACACTGCTCACCATGCGCCACACCGTCCAACTCTTCACCGACGGCGCCTGCTCGGGCAACCCCGGGCCGGGCGGGTGGGCCTACATCCTCAAGCACCCCGCCTCCGGCAAGGTCGTCGAATTCGCGGGGGCCGAGGCGCGGACGACGAACAACCGCATGGAGCTCACCGCCGTCATCCAGGGCCTGCGCCACATCAAAGAGCCGGCGAAGGTCGAGATCTACTCGGACTCGAAATACGTCCTCGAGGGCCTGGAGAGCTGGCTCGACAACTGGATCAAGCGGGGCTGGAAAACCGCCAGCAAAAAGCCCGTGAAGAACGAGGAGCTCTGGCGGGACCTCGACGAGCTCCGCAAGATCCACGACCTGACCTTCCACTGGGTGCGGGGGCACGACGGGCACCCGGAGAACGAGCGGTGCGACCAGCTGGCGGTCGAGGCCCGAGAAGCGATCGCCTCCTAGCCCAGACGCGCCAGACGGCCCCGGGACACGTCACGAGTCACCCCGGGTTCGGGGCGACCGGCCGCACCCGGGGATCGGGTCGATAGCCGGTGCATGAAGACCGGAAAAGCCATCAAGTTGACCCTGTTCCTCGCCTCCATCGGCAGCGCGCTGTACCACGCGCCGCAGATCATCGAGATGACCGAGCAGGTCAAGGCGATGAGCAGCGGCCTCTCGGGCGAGGGCGGGAACGCCTTTGACATGCTCCGCCAGCTCCAGGGCGCGGGCCAGCTCTCCGGCGGCCTGGAAGCCCAGGCGGAGGCCGAGCCCGAACTCCAGATCTTCTCGCCCGATTTCGAAGAGCTCTCGGAAGCCGAGCGGGCCGAGCTGCTCGCCGCGGCCCAGCGGATGCGCCCCCGCATCGAGCGCGATCCGAACGGCAACCCCACCGCGAACACGCCCGACGGCGGTTCGACGGCGGCTTCGGGCGACCCCAACCGCATCACCATCGGCGGGATCGATCCGTCCATCATGAAGCAGCTCGAGAACCTCGGCGGGGCCGAGGAAGTGCTCAAGCAACTCGGCGGCGCGCCGAAGTAATAACGTTCGGTACTCAGTCACCCATGCCGAGGGCGGCGCGTTTGGCGTCCCACTCGGCTTGTTCGCGTTTGTTCTGGGTGTCGAGGTCCGTGCGCCCGGCGCGGATGGCCTCGACCTCCAGGCGCGTGAGGTGCACGCCCTCGATCTCGTAGTCGCGGTACGCCTCGCAGGACCAGGGCACCATCGGCTCGATGAGCTGGTACATGGCCCGGGCGTATTGCTGGATCTCGTGCTGGGCGTGGGCGTCCATCCGCAGGCCGATGAAGCGGAGGATGTTGTGCAGGTCGCACTTCCAGTACCACTCGGTGTAGAGAGAGAGCGGCAGGCCGATGCGCCCCAGTTCGCGGGAGAGGCCCTTCTCGGTGAGTTCGAGGTACTCCGCGTGCTGCGCCTCGGCCTTGTCGAGGTACGCGAGGAACTGCTCGGCCGTCTCGACCTCGAGGGCGTCCCCGCGTCCCTGGCGGTTGGTGGCGGACTGCTTGCGGATCTCCTCGAGGTCCGGGCGGTGGAAGCGCTCGGGCATGACGGAATAGCGGCCCGAGTACTCGTTGACGTTCGCGGTGCGGTGCCGGATCCACTGGCGAGCGATGAAGATGGGCATCGAGCAGTGGAACTTGAACTCGACCATCTCGAAGGGCGTCGTGTGGCGGTGGCGCATGAGGTAGCGGATGAGCCCGCGGTCCTCGTTCACCCGCTTCGTGCCAGCGCCGTAGGAGACGCGGGCCGCCTGGACGATCGAGGCGTCGCCCGTCTGCCCCTCGGGGACCATTCGGGGCATCACGTCGAGCAGGGAGATGAACCCGTGATCAGAGATCTGGATGTGGTGACGCGCCGCGCCGCCCATGAGGTCGACGAGCGGGCCCTCGGGCATCTCACGTTTCACGGGGAACTGCTTGGGGGGCTTGATCTCGACGGTGGGCTCGCTCATCTCGTCACTCCCTTGACGACGGTGAATTGAGAGGAAACCGCCAGTCTACCGACCGCGCGAAGTGCCGCGCGCAATTGACAGGTTGTGACAGCCAGCGACAGGACGCCCGCTCAGGGCTCGGGGTCTGTCGTCAGTTTTTCCACATGCTCGGGATCGCCCTCGGTGCCAGCCTGGCGGGCGGATTCTTCCAGCAGACGCGACGGGATCGCCAGGCAGATGAGGCCGGCGAGGAAGACGAGGCCCGCGATCCAGACGTAGCCCATGTCCACCTGCGAGGGCGGCACCTCCGCGACGTTCTCGAGTTCCGCCCCGACGAAGACCTGCGGGACGACCCACGCCGAGACGGCGGAAATCCCCCAGCCGAATCCCATCATCAGCGAGGAGACGAGCCCCGTGTGGCTCGGCAGAAGGCGTTGAGCCGTGGCGATGCAGGTGGGGATCACCGACGCGAAGCCGATGGCGCCCAGGCAGCTCGCGGCGAGGATGGCGGCGTTGCCGAATTCCCGGCCCACGAAGCCGGTGGCGGCGATCACGAGGCTGCCGAGCAGGGTGGTGATGACGATGGGCCGCTTCTCGTGCCCGGTCCGGATGAGCCGGCCGGCGACGAGCGAGCTGACGCCCATGCCGATCGTGCAGAAGATCATGATGTTCGAGCCGAGGACGGAGGCCTTGTCCGGGTCGTCGAGGATGACCGAGCCGGCCCAGAGGTTGGCGATGACGATCAGGCTCACATTGGCGGTGAACCGCAGGGCGTTCTGGACGGCGAGGAGGGCCACGGCGAACCAGCGGAGCCCGCGTTCCCGGCTCGAGAACGCGGCGTGGGTCGCCTTGTGGTTCTCGTCACGGTGGGGGACGTTGCTCGTCAGGCGGATGAGGACGATCGTCGCGAAGATCGTGGGGATGATGAGCCAGGCGAGTGACTCCATCCCGAAGGCGACGTTCATCCGGGAGGAGATGAGCGGCCCCAGGGAGTGCCCGACCATCCCGGCGAAGAAGAAGATGCTCACGGCCAGCGCCCGCCCGTGGCGGATGGCCCGCCCGCCGAGCTGGCCGGCGAGGGAGACGGCGATGGGGTGGTAGGCCCCGACGCCCATGACCCCGATGATCTCGAGCACGATGAGCTGCTCGAAGGTCTGGGCGAATCCGATCAGGGAGATGCTGACGCCGCCGACGAAGAGCCCGAGCGGGGCGAAGAGCCGGGTGTCGAACCTGTCCCCGAGCCAGGCGAAGAAGATCTGCGGGGGGCCGCTGAAGAGGGGGACTAGGGCGTAGATGATCAGGACGTGGCCCTTGGTGAGCACGAGGTCCGAGCGGAGGACGTGCATGAGGGCGCTGAAGATGATGGGGAAGATGTCGATGACGACGTGCGTCCCGACGACAGACCAGTAGCGCACCCGCGCCAGAGCGTCGTCCCTCGCCCCGTCGAGGGGCGTGCTCAGTCTGTCGGCGATCTGGCTCATGGAATGCGTGGTCTCCCCCCTTGGAGTGAGCCCCATCGTACCCCGTCACGCGCAAAGACGAGCGAATCTTCGGGTGGCCGAATCTGGCCCCGGATCGAATCGGATATCATCGGGAGATGAGTGAGCTCGCCACCGCAGATTCAAGCGTGAACACCCCCGATTCCCAGCCCGGAACGACCGTCCGGCGCGTCGAGGTCCGCACGACCGATCGCGTCGGCGACCCGCGCGGGCGGGCCGTGGTGCGCGACGCGAAACGGCTCGGCCTACCGCTCGACTCGGCGCGCACGTCGAAGGTGTATCTCATCCGTTCGTCGATGAGCGACGCGCAGTTCGAGACCGTCGTGAGCCGGCTGCTCGCGGACCCGGTCACGGAAACGGCGCACGTCGGCGCGAGCGCCGTGGGCGAGCGACTCATCGAGGTCCACCCCCTCCCGGGCGTGATGGACCCGGCCGCGAACACGATCGAGCGCACGCTCCGCGAGCTGTTCGGCATCACGGCGGACGTGCGCACGGGCACGCGGTACGACCTTTCGGGAATCAGCGCCGAAGACGCGAAGACCCTCGCGAACCGCGTGCTCGCGAACGGCGTGATCCAGGGTGTTTTCACCGAGGCGTACTGCCCGGACGACTTCCCCCGCCTCCCGCCCGTCGACCAGACGGTGCGCCAAGTCGAGATCCGCAATCTGGACGACGCGGCCCTCGAGGTGATGAGCCGCGAGAAGCACCTGTTCCTGAGTCTCGACGAGATGCGCGCCATCCGCGATGAGTACCAGCGCCGCGACCGCGAGCCGACGGACATCGAGCTGGAGACCCTCGCGCAGACGTGGTCCGAGCACTGCGTGCACAAGACGCTCAAGAGCACGATCCATTACACGCCGCACGCGGGCAACGAGATCGATTTCTCCGATCGCCCGGGCCACGAGGTCCACGCGGAAGGGTCGGTCACGATCCACAACCTGCTCAAGTCCACCGTGGCCGCCGCGACGTTCGAGCTGATCGACGAGGGCGTCGACTGGACGCTCTCCGTCTTCGTCGACAACGCGGGCATCATCGAGTTCGACGAAAAGAACGCGGTGTGCGTGAAGGTCGAGACGCACAATCACCCCAGCGCGATCGAGCCCTACGGCGGCGCCGCGACTGGCGTGGGCGGGTGCATCCGCGACATCATGGGCACGGGCCTGGCCGCGAAGCCGATCGCGAACACGGACGTCTTCTGCGTGGCGATGCCGGACATGAAGGATGAGGACGTCCCGAGCGGGTGCCTGCACCCGCGCCGGATCCTGACGCGCGTCGTCGACGGCGTGCGGGACTACGGCAACCGCATGGGCATCCCCACGGTGAACGGCGCGGTCTTCTTCGACGACCGGTACGTCGGCAACCCGCTGGTCTTCTGCGGGTGCGTGGGCGTGATGCCGAAGGACCTGATCGACGGGCACGCGAAGCCGGGCGACCGGATCATCGCGCTGGGCGGGCGCACGGGCAAGGACGGCATCCACGGCGCGACGTTCTCCAGCGCCGAGCTGACGGACACGCACGCGGACGAGTTCTCCCACGCGGTGCAGATCGGCAACGCGATCGAGGAGAAGCGCACGCTCGACGCGATCCTGCGGGCGCGGGATTACGAGGGCGGGCCGCTCTACACCGCGATCACCGATTGCGGCGCGGGCGGGTTCTCCAGCGCGGTCGGCGAGATGGGCGAGAAGGTCGGCGCGACCGTCCTGCTCGAGAACGCGCCGCTCAAGTACGAGGGCCTGCGCTACGACGAGATCTGGATCTCCGAGAGCCAGGAGCGGATGGTGCTCGCGGTCCCGGCCCAGAACGTCGCGAAGATCCAGGAGATCTGCGACGAGGAGGGCGTCGAACTGGCGGACCTGGGCGAGTTCGGGACGACGAACGAATCGGGCGAGCCGGAACTGGTCCTCACATTCAAGGGCGAAGAGATGGGGCGGATGGCGATGGCCTTCCTGCACGACGGCATCCCGATGCCGACTCGCTCGGCGTCGTGGACGCCGAGCGAAATGGCCAAATGGCAA